TTTATGGTAATACCAAAAATTCTTAATTTAAATAAAAATTGTTAGTTTGACATAATCTTTATGTTATAATTATGAATTAAAAATAATGTAAATAAAAGTGGGTTGATGGTGATGTTTGTAATCAATATTTGCACCAATTATTTAATATTAATAAAAATTCAAATAATTAATTGAAATCTTATTTACTGTAATCTATTATACAATTGATTGCCAATAGTGTATCTGTCCGTAGCTTGTTGATTTAACATAAATTTCAAATATTATTAAATAAAATTTTGATATTTGTTCATTATATTGTTTTTAAATAGTACTATAAATAATAATATTTCACAATCATGTAATGATTAAATAATTAAAACAGACATTCATTACTTAACTCTTACAATTAATAATAATATAATTTTTTGTTTACATACTTTGACAGTATTAAAAGTACTAGTACAATTAAACTCAAGTACAGTTCATTTTTGCGTACGCGAGTCTTTGTGAATAGTACTGACACGGTCAATATGAATGATAAAAATTTGCCAATTAATCCTTGAAAATAATCATATAAATATAGCGACCTTAGTACAATAATTTTATCTAATTAGCATATTCAAATTAATATACTAATCAGCATAATGTTTGGAAAGTCTATTGCTATTCTATTTGCGGTGATGCTAGTCATCAGTATTGGTATGAATTTTATCGTTAAATTAAAATATATTTTTAAAACAATTTTTTTATATTTTAATTATTAGTTGCCGTCGACAACGTGGCAGCCGGTGGTGGTGGTGGCCAGGGATCAGGTGGTAGTTCCGGTGGTGCCAGTTCATCCGGCGGCAAACATGGCGGCTCCCGGGGCGGTGCATCTGCTGGTGGTTCCGGTGGGCACAAGAGTGGATCGGGAGGCCAATAAATGCAAATGACCTGTTTGAAACTGATTTTGATTTTGTTTTAAATATGTTGTTGTTAAGTTTTATCTTTATAAATTCAATTTGAACTTCCATTGTCAAAATTATACCCTTTTTAAATAGTCTGGCTTATTAAAAATAATAAATACTCTTTAAAATAGTAGTAATGCAAACCGAGTTATTTTTTAATTTTACAACTTGATATTATAAAAGTATTAAATGTTTAAAAATTATTATCGCTCACTAAATACTTCATTGATGAATTATTAATTTAATCATTTTTAATTAAATTTACTTTGATCGAAATAATTTAAATACTACTATTTAAACATTATATCTATTTATATAGATCAATATGACTAATAAATAAAACATTTAAGAATATTTTGAAGCATTATAATTTATAAAAATTACATTAAAATAATATTTCATTTATTATCTCTTACAGTTAATAATAATATCAATTAGTGTTTACATACCTTGAAAAAATAATAGTGCTAGTACAATTAAACTTAGAACTGTTCATTTTGCGTACGCCAGTCACTTTAAATTATACTAAAACGGTAAATATTAAATTTCTGGCAATTAAACCTTGAATATAACAATATAGATATAGCGACCATAGCACAATAATAAATATAATTAGCATATCAAAATTAATAATCTAATCAGCATAATGTTTGGAAAATCTATTTTTATCTTATTAATGGTGATACTAGTCATTAGTATTTGTATTATTTTTAGCATTAATTTAAAATAAATTTTATAAACATTTTTAATTTTTTCAATAATTAGTTGCCGTCGACAACGCGGTAGCCGGTGGTGGTGACAGTACCCGGGGTGGTAACGGTGGCGCTAGTGTTGTTGGTTCTGTCAATGGTGGCACTGGTGGTGCAGGTGGTGCTGGTGGGGGTAGTATTGCTAGGGGAAGTATTTAAAATAATTTTTAAAATTCAAAATATTCAGTTACTTTCAATACTGTGACCCATCATACCCACCACCAGTAATATTACTTAAATGTTTTCATAATGACCTTGCTCATTTTGGTCTATTAACTAATTTGTCTCATTATTATGTGTACATTATTATTGTCAGATTTGAGTGCATAAATAAGTTACATTCAAATTAAGCTATTTGTTATGGATTAACACTAGTACTAAAAAATCTTTAATAAAACTTTTAAATATTTTTGCTAATTATATTTTCAAAATAATATTACACTATATGTATAAATATTATATATTGCATGAATGCAGGTATATTGAATAAATAGTGGAAATAAAAACATTAAAATAATTTTGATTTTAGTATCACTAGTATTATTAGTTATTTAATCAGATTTTTTGCGAAACAATATTTTGTAATGTTCACTAGATTTGTTTAAAAATATAATTTGCATTTTTACTATTATATTAAATATTAGCTTTATAAACGCATAAAAATATAATTATTAATTAACATCAATTATGATTATATTTACGATTTTAAAATACCTTGTAAACATGGTGGTTTCCGGAGGGGGGTGGTTATGTAGCTGCAGGTGGTGCCGGTGATTCTAGTAGGGGAAAGGGAGGCAAACATTAAATGCAAACTGCCTTTTTGAAAATTATTTTGATTTTGAATAATAATTTAAATATTAATAATTAATTATTTTTTCTATTTGTATAGACTGGACTGATAAACTATACAGATTGTATGGACTGATAAACAAATTTTTAAAAATAATTTGAAATATTTTAAAAATTATAAAAAACAAATATTTTTAAAATCTTATTAACATAATAATTTTTCAATTAACTCTTACAATTAATATTAATATCAATTCATGTTTACATACCTTGACATTGTAAAAGTGCTATTGTAACTAAACTCAGGTGCAGTTCATACTTTTTTAATTGCACTAAAATGGTAAATATTATAGATTTTCCAATTAAACCTTGTGTATGACCAATTAATGTACAACTTTAGTTTAATGATTTTATTTAATTATCATACATAAATAAACTACACTAATACACTAATCAGCATAATGTTTGGAAATTCAATTGCTATCCTATTAGTGGTGATGCTATTTATCAGTATTGGTCTGCATTTTATCGTTAAATTAAAATAAATTTTAAAAACAATTTTCATTAATTCATTATTAGTTGCTGGACAAAATAGCAAAAATGGTGGCTCACGGGGTGGTGCCGGTGGTGCTAGAGGTTATGCCCCTGCTAATGGTGGCTCCGGGGGTGGTAATTGAGGTCTTGTTATTAATGGTAATGGTGCTAATGGAGGTGTTAATATTGGTGGTAACGGTGCTAATGGAGGTACTGTTATTGTGAGTAATGGTGGAAGAGGTGGCAAACATTAAATGCAAATTGATTTGTGGGATTGACTTTATGCCCAGGCACTCAGGCCCTTACTATTAAATAAATTTATTTATAAACAATACAATTATATTAAAATATTAGTAAATTTTATTAATTATATTATCTAAATACATAAATAATATAAAATTTAAAATATTTTATTTATTATAGTTTTAATTTTATTTTATTATCAATGAATAAAATCTGTATCTAGATAAGAATCTGTTAACAAATAATTAAATTTTATGATAATGTATATAAATAAAATTTATAATTTCTATATTATGGTATAATTAATATAATTGAATGGTTTAAAATAAATCCCTTGATTTATATAAAAATAATATATATTTAAATTTAAATTTTGTTTTAAATATTGTTATTATTAATTTTATTATATAAATTCCAATATAGTATATTTTCAAAATTGTTCTACTTGTTATTGGCCTAATTTATTTAAATTTAATAAATATTTTAAAATAGTAATATGGCCAGCCCACTTTTTTTTTATAAATTTCAAAATTTTAATATTGATCTTTAAAACTGTTTTCACATTTATTAAATAACATAAATACTTGAAAATTACTTTTCAAATTGCAAATGACTAATGTAATTATTACTATTTGTTCATATTTTAGTACATGACGCTTACAGATTATAATTAAGTTAGGTAGACAAGGGTGTTTATAATTAATTGTATTTATATACTTTTATATTTATATACCACCTTAATACGACTAGATTTATATTATTTTTACAAATTACATTATTTTAATAACATAAAAAACTTGGTTATGATTTACTTTATTTTAACAAATACATTTAAGTGCAATTGCTACAAGTACAAATCAGTACTTAGGTTTATATGAATGAATATATTAATTAGAGTAATAAATATGATATATAATTAAAAATATAATTAGTTTTCTTAATGTAATTTTTGAAAATGTCAAAAATATTTATTTTTTTGTTTGTAGTATTAATAGCTATTAATTACGGTAATTATAAATTAGTTATATTTTTATAAGTTACAAAATAATTAATATTTAATTTTAATTTTAATATTGTAGTATTGAGCGCCGGTAGTCAACGGAAAAGTGGTACCACTAAAAATAACCAAGCTAATAAACAACCTAATAATAGTCCTGCAAACAAGCCTGCTAATAATAAATCTACAAATAATAAACCTGCTCATTCTACTACCAATAATAGCCCAGCTAATACAAACTCAAATAAGCCTGCTAATACTAAATCCACGAATAACAAACCAGCCAATAAACAAACTAATAATAGCCCAGCAAATAAACCTGCTAATAATAAATCTTCAAATAATAAACCTGCTCATTCTACTACCAATAATAGCCCAGCTAATAAAAACTCAAATATGCCTGCTAATTCAAATAAAAAATTTGGTGCTAGTGGTAACAACATTAAAGGTGCCAGGTTCGCCCAACCATATGGACATACACACGCTAATAAGCCTGGTACCCATGATAACACGTTTGGCCAGGCTATTCACCGTGCTGTTAAACGCAATCACTAATTTATAAAATATTTATTAAAATAAAACCCATATTTGTTAATTAAAATATTTTGTTAATTTTCTATTGCTTAATTATTTGTTAATTTAAATATATTTATATTTAAAAAATTGTAATTTACTATATTAATAACACTGTTGATCTGATTAAAATTACTTTTTAATATTGCATAATCTAAATTAATTATTGTAATATTTAACTGTACTAACCATATTAATAATATAATAGGTCGTGATATAAGTAAATAAATATGAATATACAGTAGATATAATATAAGATTAAAAACAAAGTATTGTTTTAGATTTTAACTTAATGTGTTTTAGTGCAAATCAATTGATGTACTAAATACAGTACATATCATAATAGGAGTAATATAATTATTATTTAATGTACTAAACCAAATAACTTGTCTATTGTATTATAAATATAAATGTCCTTTTAATTGCATGCAATTATTAAAAATTTTACTATAAATACATCAGAAATTATAATTAATTCATTAAATCTGTTAAACAAGCTTGCTCAAAAAAAATTTGTAAAACAATGAACAAAACAATTATACTGTTATTACTCGTGGCCGTGGTATTCACTATTGGTACATAATGTATGATATATTTTTAATTAACCTTTTATAAGCATGATGCTTTATTTTACAAAATAGTGGATGAGGCTACATGTGTCGATAGTGGAAAGGCTGCTGAGATTAAAAACAAAATAAACGAGAAAAAGGAGGAGGTCAAGGGGTACGTGGAAATGGGCAAGGCGGCTATCAAGGAGAAAATAGGCAGCATGGGCAGCAAACAATAACTAAACTTGATCATTGTAAATTAAATAAAGATTTAATCCATAATAATAAATAAATAAATATTTTGCTGAGTTATATAAAAATGTTTTAATTATATAATGCCACCAACAATTTAATTAATTCATAGTGTAGTAATTTCTGTTTTAATTTTTATTATGTTAAGATATTTTATGGTGTAATCTAGCTATGGGCAACTCAGATTATAAGTTAGTGGGAAAAGGTTTCGATATTTCCAGAAATTGCTGACAGTATTTCGGGAATATAGGAAATTCCATGGATAGTATAATAGACTTTACATGGAATTTCTTGTATTCCCGAAATACTATCAAAAATTTCTGGAAATATCGAAACCTTTTCCCATTAACATATAATCTGAGTTGCCCATAGCTAGTGTAATCTATTTGATATTTTTTAATAAAGTAACTGATTATAACAATGTCTTTTTCAAAGATAATGTGTATAG